AAGTCAAATACCATATTCAATTGTTGCCAAACATGCAGTTCTCCCACCCTGCCATATGACAGAGGCTAACAGCCAAGAAAAAGGGAGATATTGGAAATGTGTTTATGATATCAATATACAGGAACTTCAAAGGCAAGTAGAACAACATATGTCTAATAAAGTGTCATGTTATCAAGAAATTCTTAACAATTTACTTACAATTTTAAAGGGTGCTAAGCTATATACATTTTTTAACTATTTCAAATGGTAATTAATAATAGAAAATATTTGTGCTAAGAGAATCATTTGTTGCTTTCAATTACTTATTAGAAGAATTGCATAATTTAGCATTATTTTTCTTTACACATACATAACAAACAACAATACATAGTGGACACTCCAGTAAAGGATATCAAACATGTTTACATTTGCATTGCCCATAAATAAAATGAAGATATTTTAAAACAGAATCAAATAAAAATAATCAGCATTAATATTCATCCTATTAATGAATGCATTAAAATACTGAATAAAATCACTACCAGTGCAAGTACATCCTAATGAAAAATGCATTGTGAATAAACAAAATTTTAAAGCATGTTGAATACAGTAAAAAGTCCGTAATCCGGACCTCAAAGCCACAAACTTTTTTTGGGGGGTATGCTTTACGCATGCGCGTTTAGTGTATAACGGACGGTATAAGCTAGGCTAAAATTATCTTTACGGATTCTAAGGCATTTCAGTTAATGTTGCGGATTGCGCTGTTCCTTAATCTTCTAATTGGATCCGGCTTATTATTTTTTGCAGACTGTTAGAACAATTTTATAAAAATGAAGCTTGAACTTTCAATTATGTCAAAAAGAGTTTCCAATTCTGGAGCTGCCAAAGGATCTACAGAGCGAAAGTATGTGTCGATGTCCATCAAACAAAAAGTGGAATTGCTGCAAAAGATGGATAAAGGCATATCTGTCTCAAAATTATGCGAGGAGTATGACATTGAAAAGTCAACTGTATACGACATAAGCAAAAAGAAAAATGAACTTTTTGGATATTTTGTGGATTCAGACACCCCACTTGCAATGAATAACAGAAAAAGGGTTCGTTATGCTAAAAGTGATGATTGAATGGGTCAGACAGTGTTGCAGCGAGGGCGTGCCATTGACGGGTCCAATGCTAATGCCTCAAGCCAATATATTTCATGAAGAAAGGAACTTAAACACTGAGTGCACATATTCGATAGTTTGGTTAACCAAATTTAAAAATCGCCATGGTATAAGACAAAAAATTTCAGATGATAAAGCTTTAGCTGATACTGAAGCTGCTGAACAATTTGCAGATGAATTCATTGAACTCATTACTAGTGAACAATTATCTCCAGAACAAATTTACAACACTGATGAAACTGGTCTTTTCTGGCAATATGTACTGCGAAATACCTTGACAACCTCTACAGAAAAGGCTCCAACTGGTGTCAAAGAATCCAAAGTGAGACTAACAAATTTAGCATACGCAAATGCTGCATGAACGCACAAGTGCAAACTTTTCGTAATTGGAAAACATGCACGACCTCGAGCATTTAAAGGAGTAACAATTTTCCCCGTTATGTATTGCGCAAATAAAAGAGCAGGATGACGCAAGCATTGATGGATGATTGGCTTGAAAATCATTTTATACCTGAGGCTCAGCGACATTTGAATTCAGTCGGTTTACCTACGAGTCAAAATTAGTCCTGATTGTTGACAAAAGTTTGGCGCATACTTCACTTAAAGTTTTAGTGAAAGATAATGTAGCTGTATTATTCTTCCCTCCAAATTGTAAGTCTACCATTCAGCCTATGGATATGGGAATAGTGCACGAGTTAAAATGCATATATAAAGTAGCATTTTAAAAATCTATGTTAAATTTCTTGAACAATGACAAGACTATTCAAGACTTTTTGAAAAATTTTTAGCATAAAATCTGCTGTGTGGAGCATCGCAAGATCGTGGGAGGATGTGTCTGCAGATACGTTAAAAAATGCCTGGCATAATTTATGGCCAGCGACCATATTTCACGGTGAGGACATGAAGATGATAGCTGTGAATTTGAAGGTTTTTGGACATCGCAAACTAAAGGTGAAATTTTCCAGTTATTGGATTTTGTAAAGAAATGTGGAGAAGCAATAATAAATGAAGATGATATAATAGAAGTTTTTCATTATGTCGACAATGCTATAATCATCAATCAATTAACGGACGGCGAAATCCGGACGTCCATTATCCGGAATCTAGTATGGTATCCAGAAAATACTGCTTCTGATATTGAAGAAAGTGACAGAAAGGTTATTGAAAATGAAAAAATTTCGAGTGACAAGTCAGTCAGTATTCTCAACACAGCAATTACAGCACTTGAACAGTGGAACTTTGTAACTGAACAAGAAATTATGTCTGTTTATAGAATTAAAGAGAAAGTATTAGCACAAAAAATGAAGCAACTTAAATAACTTACATTAAAAGAAATGTTTAATAAAGTAAACAAATAAATATTAAGCTTTTTTTTTTTTTTTTTTTTTTTTTTTTTTTTTTTTTTTTTTTTTGTTTTTTTTTTTTTTTTGTTTTTTTTTTTTTTTTTTTTTTTTTTTTTTTTTTTTTTTTTTTTTTTTTTTTTTTTTTTTTTTTTTTTTTTTTTTTTTTTTTTTTTTTTTTTTGTTTTTTTTTTTTTTTTTTTTTTTTTGAAATTTTGATACTCTTTAGATCATAATTGCTTTTTATTTTTAAAAATTACAATTTCATATTTTTAATTGTATAATTTCTGCATGCCATCTTACGAGATTTAAATCAATGATCTATAATCTGGAAAAGCCCCTAATCCAGAACTGCCGAAGTCCCCACAAGTCCGGATTACGGACTTTGTACTTTACTAATTAATGTTTTGGAATTGATATGCGCTAGAAAAAATTTCCAGAAATTCTGTTGAAATCAAATTTTTGCAGCAAATATTCCAGGAAAATAATTTTAGGTTCAGCTGACTAAAAATGATTATTATTGAGTACTGCTAGAGTATTGTTGTTAAGTATTGTATCAATATTGCTAATGGACTTAGATTTACACCAGTCACTTACAATAACATTGAAACAATTTAAGAAAATATACTTTGATTTAATATGTATTGAAAAAAATATATACTTTGGTTTAATATGTATTGAAAAAAAATATGCATAACTTTAGCATAATTTAGCTCACAAAAACATACTTGAACATGATATTTTTGGAAGAAAGAAAGAGAAAAAAAAAAAAAAAAAAAAACTACATAAGCATATTAAAATAGGCAATATGAACATTTTGACGTGCATAAAAATAAATGTGTTTTTCTTTTTCTCCCCATCTTTTTTAGGGTGGGGACAAAATGAAAATGCAAGCTTATTACATTTTTATAAAGTAATCAGAGTTTAATGTGATCTTTTGCAAGCTATTTCTAAGAATATGCAGAAGTTCATGCCTTATATGAATAATACAAAATTTTTACATGGGTAACATAAGATTTACATACATATACAGTTACTATATTTTAATTACTAAATTCTGAACAATAAATTAACTCATATGGTAATTTTAATGTCTGGAATACTTTAAGCATATTCAATTGCCTGCCCGGACTAATAATAGCAAATGCATTTAAAAATTCATTTTTTTAGTATGCTGGTTAGCTTGCAGCAATAAAAGAGGATGCCACAAACTATAAATTTAACTAAAGACTTGCATTTATTTAGAAAACTACAGCCACTTTTATGTGTAGCAATCAATATCAATGAATTAAGCTTGTAAATAAACACCTCTGCATAAAATAATGAAGTTAGACTGCCTAATTATAAAATATTCAGAAAACAATATGAGGCAATGATTGTTGAAGTTCCATTTCACATAAAAAAATTTCTCTCCAAATTTTGTAAGCTGTGATTCGGTAGTTTAGAAAATAATGTTACGGTAAGAACTGAATTTTAAAAACTGTATCTTGTAAAAGGATACCTGTCTTATTGTTTTTTTCTTTTATACTACTGACAGAGAATGATTACAGAATATGAATTTAAACATATAAAGAAGCAGAATTTTGTTTAAATAAAAATAAATAATTTGAGATATTTAATATGGGCTGATTCTAAAGATAATCCTTTACTTTTGTGCCCCACGTTTTATTTAAATAAATACATAATAATTCATTAGTATCACTCAAGACAGATGCATAGTACCAATGGAACTCTAATAGAGCAATCTTTTAGTGCCAACACAGTCCAATTCTGTATGCTAAGACACATAGTAAAATATGACTAGTTGGTTACATCAGCAGAAAAAAGATCTTTTTATGATAAAAATTCAGTGACAAAAGATCTTCTGTATTTATTGCTCAAAATCTCACATTTTGTACTTAATGGCACTTGGGACAATATATGTCCCATGTTTGCATTTTTTTTTAAAAATAGCTATTTCGTGCATTCTAGGTTAATGAAACCTTCACAGAGATTTAACAGGAGGTTTGATTTCTCCAGATTTCTTATCTTATACACAGGCACAGTATTATGCAGAGAGCTTTTATTTTTAACTTCAGTTTGAAAAGTAATATGCATGTATGTAAGCATATGCCTTGATTCATACTTAAAAATCTATTCTAATTTCCATAGTGAGAATAGCATCTTTTAGTCAAATTTCATGTTGAAAGCTCCTCTTGTTCTGGTAACAAGATATAGACATTGATTATAATACTGTGGTTTCTAAACCATAAAATACATACTACATTTGTATTTCGTAAATAAAAGTTTCATTACATGATGATGATTAAATAGCATTCCTCAGAGGGAAAAATCATATAAGGCTTCATTTGAAATAACTAGAGGAAAAAATCATTCATAAAAAACTGAAGTTAAATCATTTTTATCATTCAACTATCTTTAAATTGTCCTAAAACATCATTTTACCCAAACTAGAAACATAATTATGAAACATATACATAAATGGAAAAATAATAATTATAAAAAACTGAATGCACATTATTACTGCAAAGTTTGCAGAATTTTGATATGAACAATTATAATTGTAAAGGAAGTTTCATTATTTAATACATATAATTAAAAAAATTACAAAAAAAGTTCTTTAAAAGTTTGGAGGAAATGCTGATTTATTTTGTACACAACTGAAACTGTAATTTACATACACAAACCAATTAAATCAATTTCAAGATATTAATATTGGCCACAGATATTCAACACGCCTTAAGCTTTAAATAAAATAAAGAATTTAAAAATTTACAATTCAGTAAATCACTTAAAATGCAGAAAATTGCCATCAGATATTTAGAAAATACTACATCAAAAGGGAGGAATAATAACATCTTTAAAAGGCAAAACTGTACATCATTCGTGTTAAGCAACATGAATAGTTAAAAATCATCAAACTACTCTAACTGCAATGAAAATTTTCATTAAACACATTTTCTGAGGATTGACAACTATTTGCTATATAGCTGCCACTATCTTCACGTATGAAGCATTCACACATAACACTTGTACTATGATTCTTAAAATTTCTGTTCTTAAAACATGGAAGGGGGTATTTAATGGAACAAGGCAATATTAAAGATATTGCATCATAATTCTCACTCTATTACGAAATACTTGCAAAGCAGGTGTAAATCACATCAAAATTCTATATTATTCCAAGAGCTAAAACAACATACATTTCTTATTCTATAACAGCAGTTAATTTTAACACTTGTTGGAAAACACAGCTAATTATGAAGCAGCATTTTCCACATTATCGACAAGAGAATTTGGCGTACCCTCTAACACCAAAGAAGGCTGACATATCTTATTAACGACAACAACACTGGGAGTGGTTCTGTTTTCTTTTGCAGGACTTGCAATCGTTGCTGTATGCGGCTGATCTGAATTAGATTCTCCACTTCCTTTGCTGACAGAACAGTCAACTTTAGTACCTGCCAAATCAGAGTTTGAAACTGGATCATCACCAGTTGCTGAAGCACCATTTTCTTCACTTTCTTGAATATCTGGAGGCAATAACTGAGCAGTAGCAACATCAGGATCAACATCAAAAAGCACAGTTGTGATTAATGCACACCACATTGATGTCCGTGCCTGTCGAGAAGCTTTTGTCAGCTCCATGATACTTGCAGCCAAAGCTACAACATCTAAACATGAACATAAAATGTATAAATAATATTAAAATAACAAAAATGACAATAACTTCTCAAATTATTGTTAGAATATGCAATACATATGCTAATACTTCTAGAACAATGATCCATTTTCATAACACGTAAATCAGATGACTTTCCAAGATTTAAAAAAAAAGAGGCCTAAAATCTGCATTCTTTCTTAAGTGTAAAACATTAAACATTCATTAAGTATAAAACATTAAAAAGGCCTCAAACTGGTTTCATAAGAGGTTGCATTAGATCAGCAGTCACAAAACTGTCCTAACATAAAATTTTAAAATAGCCCACCATACTTATAGAACATGATCATCACTATTCTCAACTGACTTAACCAATAAAACATTTATCTTGCCTCTGATCTCTTTCCAATGAGAATCTCTTGTGACTTCCAAGTCAAGTTTTCAATCCCTTATAAAGTTCAAAATTTGATTCTTGAGTGCAATGGAAGTAACAACAATTGATGCAGTGCTGATATGTGAAGACAGCAGACTTATTAGACCTATTTTTGAAAGAAAGCATCTCTTTTCTGAGAAAAAGAAAGACAGCAAATAGATATGCATTTTGAAACTGAGTATCAATAACGTGATCATGGTTTTCCCCCAAAAGTTTAGCTAGATAAAGGAAAATGGTAATACAGATTCTAACAAAAAGTAATGGCTCAGAACCACACTTGTGAAAAATGTAAATGGTTTTCAGTCTTATCCTGTGTGTGTGCAAGAAGGTCTTTAAAGAACCAAATGAGATGGTATTAACTCTTTAACTATTTGGCCCAGATCACATTGTTCCTTTATGCAGGCTCTTTATGGGTTTGTTATGGAAAATTTTAATTTTAAATGTACCCTCGAAAACAGACCTGCCCATGTTTTTGTTACAATGAAAAGATATACCACGAATGGCTCGCCCATATTTCTATCTCTCTTCCACCCCCAATGTCTAAGTGAACAAGAGTCCATGCAAACCTGATCATGAAGGGTAACGACTGTCATTCGCATGAAGAGAATCTTCTTGATGAAAGGCCTTTCACTAACTCTAAAGAAACAAATTTATTATCCATTACAAAGTGAAAGTATGTATGAAAGGAACTAAGAAATAGGGATGAAGAGAAAGTTCTTAGTTCCCTTAAAATTCTTAAAATGGATTTTAGAGCAGTTTATTGCATAAAAAAGAGGTTTTTATAAAATAAACTTTTATTTATATCTCATAAATTCATTAATGAATTAAAACGAGAAAAATAATGTATCATATAATTTAATGGGAACAGGAGATTAAACAAATTCATCTACAAATTCATATAACAAATAATAAAAACATGAGACACTCTTGACAAATTTATAAATCTTATACTTTTGACAATGCGATTCGATTATTTGATTTTGTTATTTAATAACCTATACATCTATTATTAGTGTTATAAAATTGTACAGGAATTTTGCAATGGGGCTTATCAGTCTTTTACTTCCAAGAATCTTATCTCAAATAATAGAAAAAAATCTATAAATTTTCAAAAATTCGCCAAAAAATCAGAAATTATGTTAAACATTTCATGAAAATTTTATTTAAAAGGCTCTTTCTGCAAAATGATGCAAACTATAAATTTTTTAGATTTATTTTAGTTTGTTCTTTAAATGAAATATGCAAAAAAAAAAAAAAAAAAAAAAAAAAAAAAAAAACCAACATCCAATTTTAAAAACTAAGTAAAATTTTATAAAACTTGCTTTACCATGCAGTATTATCATCCATAAACATGTGTGTACAAAATTTGAACTCAATAGCTTATTGAGCAGTAATTTAAAAATCAATGTCGTTTACAGCAACAAACACTATGAGTAAAACTGAATAAAATTTTTTAAACAAACTTGCCAACTCTTAAATATTATATTTTTAACCACTTTGAAAAGATCAGAAAATTGCTGATATTGCATAACTGTTATTTTTATTACATTATTTGCATTATGAAATCCGTATGTGACATTCCTATGCGATTTCTGACAATCCTGTTCATTCGTAAAACTGGCTGTCTTTGACAATATTGTGATGCTTATTCTACTCGTATATGCTCCATTATCTATGATAATCATTACCGATATTTAATTATGTTCTATTTCTATACAGAAATACTGGTAACACTGAGAGAAGTCAACAAAATTTTAGCAAATATTTAATTATTTGAGTTATATAACTATGTATACTAGCTCAAGAAATTTTGTGTCATTTTGTAAAAATAATCTTTTTTAAAATTCCTTTTCGCTCCCTACTTAATGACTTTATCACTATTTTGATGAATGGAAGGTTATGAAAACCAACAGCTGAGTAGATAATTACAAATCTAACTAACAAATGCTCTATAAATACAACTTTTCATATTTTAGCAGAATTTTTTCAGCTCCTGAAGGAAACCTATTTATACAGATTGCTCTAGAAATTGACACAGCTTTATGCCAATTTAAGGTTGCTCTTTTGTCTACTTTTCAGTTGCTTATGAGCGTATTAAAAAAGGTTTGCCACTCAAAAATATCAATTGCTTAAAAATATTCGTAATCACACTTGATTAGATGTTCACAGATTTTTTCCCTCAGATTTCTTTAAAAAGAAAGAATTGTAATTGTATTCAATGCAAAATTTAATGTATTTGGAATCTGTGCAAGAGGACGGAAGACATCATGGAGGACTTTCTAAGGGAAGCTAGATCACATTTACATAAAACGTTGGAAAACGGCCAAGAAATTTTTCATGGAACAAGCACATTTGTCAGGATGCAAACCCATGTCAAATTACCAATGCTCAGCGGTTTTAGCACTTGGCCACTGGGGAGCCTGCAGACTAATTTAAAATCTTGTTTAGAAACCTTTCATCTTGATTTATTATGACAAGTGCCATAGTTTGAGAGTTAGGATTATTTGAATACAGAAAAGCACAAGAGGTCTATCTGCTTTTAAGGAGAGAGATGCCTTCATGGAGGATTTTCAAAGGAAAAATGGCTCATATTAATGTTACACATGGGAAAAGCCAAATAACATGCAGCTATTACATTTGTTCGTCCGGGTTTTAATCTACCAGCATTTAATGGTCTCATTGGCTAGGCTGTAGTATAATAGGGGAAAATAAATAGTACCAGACTGTATGACATCTAAATTAAGAAATAGGAAAAAAATTCACTTCCGAAATAATTTTAAACCCAAGTTTTTTTGTTTTTTTTTTAAATGGTTAGGTTAGGTTAGGTTATTTAATTACGGCAAAGCCTCGAGGGCTATCTGCCTTTTTAAAAAATGCTAATGCTTAATATAAGTATGAAACAGTTCACGTCATTTGTGTCAGTTTCAGATTGTTAAAATTAGTGTGGCTTTAATGAATGGTTATTTATACCTGCTACAGGAAAAAAAATACACTGAAATTTTCCTTTAAAATATCAGGAATTCAAAATCTTAAAAACAACCTTGTATTTAGCGTAGGTATTTTTCTACTATACATATGCTAAATACAAGGTTGTTTTTAGATTTTGATTGCCACATTAGCGTGTTTCTCTTCTAGTCTATATCAGGAATTATTAAAAAAAAAACTTCTGCAGTTTTGTAAATGAGGAAACGTATTTAGCCAGATTTTATGTGTAAAAAAAATAATGAATTATCACCTCCTCTAGTGGAGATCTTTGTAATTACATTTCTAGTTCCAAATGTGGGGAAAGTTGAGAAAACTAGTTGCTGAAGCCACAGAACACCATCAATTCTTGTAGGCTTCTATTTTCAGCAATGGAATAGTTTAGCTGCATGGAATTTTCATGGCATAGCTCTCGCTATATGTAAACTAAATGTGAGCAAGTTTTTCTTAGAAAGTTCTCCAGAAGTGTAATATCTCTATCACGGAAGACAGATATCACGTGCTTTAGTTAAAATTAGCAAATCTAAATCCATGGCCGACTGAAATATGTTTGGGGAACTACCCTAAAAATTAAAAGAAGTGAAGGCAGAACATTTTTCAAAAGATGCTAATTCATGATCTCAAAACATCTTGATTATTAGTACAGCACATTTCCGCATTCAGCATCCTGGCCAGTCACCCTACATTGCTCCCTTTTACTTACATTTATACTTTTATCTTAGAATTATTTATTACATTCATAAAAATTTCTCTTAATTATGCTAAAATAAATCTTTCCAGATGGTCATCTTTTACTCACTGGGAATCACTGCTTCTTTCAGACCGCCGATTCATGAATGAAAAGTATCTTTCTTTACTGGTTCCCCCTGATAATTCACACAAAGACCAAAACTTTGAGCAAAAATAGCCTTCCTATGGTGTTAATTCCTCAGTAAAGAAAGATAGCACTGAACAAGGGAAAGTACGTCTGTTTATTTGTAGACATCTTGACTTTCCTTTTCCCTCAAAATTCAAGTATTACGAAACTCTGCTATAAACAATATACTCTTTAAGGCAGGGATACCCCAACTGTTTTGTCCCTAAGAGCATATTATAGAAATCTGTTGGACAGAGGGAACCATTTACTTTTCCAAGATGAATTTATGGTTGGATATAGTTACACAGAGTTGAATAGAGATACATGCCCAAAAAAAAAAAAAAAAAGAGAGAGAGAGAGAGATTGGTCGCATTTTGTTTTGTGCTGGTATCTGTGTTGGATGCAATTTCCATTTCATTAAAAATGAGAAAACTTTCACATAGAATTTTATTGAAAACTAAAACATTTTTATTGTGATCACATAGCACTGGGCGCATGTTAAATGATCGGCAGGCACTATCATTGGGTTGGGAACCCCTGCTCTAAGATAGAAAATTTTTGTATATTGAAATTATAAAATGAGGTATATACAGTCAAAAGTCCTTAATCCGGACTCAACGGGACTTCGGCGATTCCGGATTATCGGTTTTTCCAGATTATAGATCATTAGTTTAAATCTGGTAAGATGGCATGCAGAAATTATAAAATTAAAAATATGAAACCGTAATTTATGAACTAACGAGCTATTATGACATAAAGGGTATCAAAATTTAAAAAAAAAAAAAAAAAACTTAATATTTACTTGTTTACTTTATTAAACATTTCTTTCAACGCGCGCACGCGTAAAGCATACATTATGCATAGTTTAAATTAGAAAATTGCAACCAGAAAACTATTTGATCTGTATTCGTGATATTTATAATGACGAGGAATTTGATTTAAATCATATCAAAAAGAGTACATCGAGATGAAATACTACATTTAGTAAGGAATTATAAGCAGAGTAAAATAAAAACATCTGCCCCTGAAGATAAGGATAGTGCTGACAGATCAACTTCTAGTTCATTGCGCGCCGCGTCGCAGAATTTGTTTTGCACCTTTTAGAAGATGTGCCTTGATCAGCAGTGCTGAAATTGATAGAATGTAACATAAAATCTACGTGAATTTGAGTTTTTTTTTTTTTAAGAGCCCCTTTATTTTACATTTTAGAGAGATTTATACTGCATCCCTGTATGATTAAAAACACCTTAAATGCATGAAAAGCTGGGCTCTAGGTATCCTATGTATAGAATGTTTTCCTTATACACTTACTCTGAAAAGTATTCAAAGGTAGTGTTTAATGAGCATAATGGGAAGAACGCTGCAGGTTTGCACTTAGTATTAGAAAAATTGAAATACTACTGTCACAAATTTTTTAATTTATCTTCAAATTTAAATGTCTTCAATCAAAAATTCAAATCTAAATACACACATTGCAGTCTTATACTAATTTAGCAGCATGTCAAGAAATTAAAACATTTTTACAAGGCATTTTGTTTTGTCAGCATCATGCTAAATATAATTACGCATAAAATTTTAATTCCTTTAATATATTTGTACACACATGTAAGAATGGAGACCAGCAGAACCCAAATGAATAAAAATTATTTAGATTATTTCATTCAACATTGTAATACTGAAATATTTATAAAACATTATTAAAACTGCTTGTTAAGATTAAGAGTTGTAAAAAGATACGACATTTTAGCCTGCAACAAAAATGACTGCTTCCAAATGAGTAATTATAATTTTACAGAAAAATCTTAAATTTGTAATTAAAATAAAAATTTCATGGATTAAAAATACGATAATTATCAAAATATTTGTAAATAAGCAAATCAGCAATTCTTCTGAAAGTTGAAATATTATGGTTATATAGAATTTAGAAACTGAAAGGAAATATTAATAATTTTGATTTTTGTGAAATTTGAACTGATTACTTGACTTAAATGACAATATTATACATTTCATTTAAAGCAATTACACAAGATCAATGATTTTAAGGTGGATGAAACATTGTTATTCACAACCAACAAATGAAACAAAAATGTGTTTACAATTAGCCGCAACTGATTTCAAACATCATTGCTAACATTTTATTTCTGTCTGCTAGGGGTGTACGTCTACAATATCACTATTAGATGCTACTGATCTTGCAATAAATGAAGTATTTCTTATTATTTGATAAATTAAATAGGTATATAATAGTGACAAATATAGAAGTTTTAACCTTAACAGAAATAAATGTCTTTAATGTTTATTTCTTACTAACATTTAGCTGTTCAATTTACAGGAAATATTCTTAGTTAACTATTTTTCTTTCAATAGATATCAGCGAAGAAATCAATTTTAAAATATAATTGATATTTTATTTTGTTCGAGAATTACTGCACAAAACATTTTCTATGTATGAATGTAATCATGAAACAAAAAATGAAAATCCAATATCAGAATGAATGAAATAACAAATGTAAACAGATGATAAGAAAACAATATTTTAGGAGGCATGGAAACTGTAATCAGTAATTTCTGGTTTTTAGTATACATCAATTCAGATGAATAAGAAAACTCAGTCATAAGAAGATTTCCTACCTAACACAACATGAATGCTTTTCTATTCAACTTCTGCCATAAATGAGAAGGAGAAAGGGGTGTCAGCTCTTTACACATTCGGCACTAAGCAATAAATCAATGAGGAGATGAGAAAATGAATGTGTGAAGGGGTAAGGAAATTACTTCTGCTGCATCCAAAATCATCTTGGGACATACTCAGAGTTGGAACCAAAGCCTTCTTACAGAATAAAGGTTAGAAATTTCCTTCTACATTTGGTCCAGTTTCTTACTCAGGATGTAAAACCAGGAATAGGTTAAGAAGTTTGGTCAACAAAACAACTTACGCTATATTTCATCTCGAATGGACATATGTGTACACTGACTGTTATATGACTCCAATACATCAAACTCATGTATTTTGAATCGTATGACAAAAAATGAGTAAACATTTTTAATGTTTCAGATCATGGTTCAAAAAAATTCAGGGGTTATACAAAAATTATGAAGAGAAATATATTTAAATTTGTAAACTAAAAATAAAATATCAGTCTTAAAGTTCTCATATTAACAGATTGAGCACTGATATACAGACTATCATGAAAAGTTTCAATACGTGCAGATTTTTTCAAAAAGGAGATGTTATTCACAGAATCTTATAAAATTTGTATTCTAAAAAACAGTGAGAGACTTCAAGTAATAACACACTGCCAACTCATAACACCCCTTGCATAAATTAAAAATAAAAAAAATTTCTAACCCAATGACATTTTTTGTATGATTACATTACAGCCTTAAAGTAATATACTGCAACTAAATATCATTAACACATTTTTAGCACTTGAAAACTCATAAATTGTGTAAAAAAGGTTTAAAAAATCAAATATAATTTTTAAATTAAAGACGTAATCACAAAGGAATATCACTGAATTATATTAAGTGGGGCAGGGAAATTAATGTTAAATTATTCTAATTTATTTAACAGACACATTATAAGGAGTGCAATGGAGAAACGTTTATTAAATGTAACCATACACACTTGGAGACAACATAGAAAGTAGATTTTTAACTTAAAAGAATACTTGCCCTATTTAAAACATTTCTGTAACTGAAAGTATATGTCTGCAACCAATATTTGCAAAAATAAAGGCTGTGTGAAGCTTTTATAGACACATTGTACAATTACCTATCTACTAGCAGCTACTATATTTATGCTAAAATGAAGGTAAACTATTAGAAGGCTCCATACAGCATAATCATAAATGCACCGTATACATATACAACAGCATCACAAATATATATGTCATAATAAAAGCAAAGGGAAAAGACGGAGCACTGTAGATGCGTGCTTAGATCCATATTGAAGAAGAATTTTGATTGCGTAGTATTTAAAGAACTTGGCAGTCAAGGCAGTTTTAATTCCATTTTTATTCCAATTGATATTTGTGGCCACAATCACTTGGCACTAGTCGTGCCTTTCCACACAAGATTTACATTTTTATATATTGTTAAGATAGAAAGCAAGCCAGCGAAATTACATCTCAGCAGAGTAGAGGGCAAAAGCTGAAGTGCGTAGTTATGAAAGATGGAAGCACGCGAAGAGAAAAGTTTTGGTTTACAATTCGGTGATTGGTCGAGAGGATCTGCATTATGGGTTAAGTAAGATCGCATGATTAATTTGAATGACGCAGTTTTAGACTTAAGCGCTATTTTTAGGACAGATAGAGGAAGTTCTCAAATGAAATAGAAAATAATGGAAGTTATAGTGAATTAAGTTTAGAAGTTTGCTTTCATATTTTTTATCTTACATATATATATATATATATATATATACCAGATTTAAATAGGTGAATGAAAGGATTTGAAGAGAAGAAATGAACTAAAAAGAATTTGACTAGTGGTTTCTTCAAGATTATGTCAGGTAAATAACATGCAAAAAATTGACTTCATACTGATTCACGGTGATTTTAGTAACTATAAGAAATATAATTCACTGGTGTAAAGGCATGAGGTAAGATTCTTGTATTTATGCAAACCTGAAGATTACTTTTCTTATGGAAATTGCATTTCTGTTTAAAATACTGAAGACAGATGAATTTCTTAACTAAACATATATTTCTGATTTCTATCTAGACCAAAAAAGGTGAATTTTCATTGAGCAGTGAAAGTGTAAATAGGATAATTATCATCAAGTTAAAGATGCCATAAAACAATTTGTATATTTTATCATACTGATCTCAGCACATAAGCTCAAGGAGAACAAAATTAGAAAGATACTAATGCATACATTACTAAAACAGGCATAACTATTTTGATTATAGTTAAAGAGATGATATCAAAAATTCTGAGGCTAAAACTTACATCAAATTAAATAACGTATTAAAATATGTATAACATTTAAATAAGCAATTCACAATGTAAATTTCATTTACTCAAATATGCATAAACATCCACTACTCACATATGCATATCTGTTATTCATATATGCAAATACATAATTAAGATTATCATATGTATAATTATTTTTTTGCGACTGTTTAAAGAAGTAACAAAACAACTGAAAATAAAATTCATAAGAAAACAAATTAAGTAAACAAAATAAACATAACATACTTAAATAAAAGATTCACACAACTTTTAAAATCCTTCATATGAAGTAACCTTTGTGCATTGAAAGTAAAATTATTATCAATAAAAACACCTTTATCTTCCTGAATTCTAGTTGCTGAGCTTCGCTGACGATTTGCAACATTAATTATTTCATCTCTCCTACGTGCCTGAACATTCCTAATAGCTTCTAACCACTTCTCCATTGTCAAATGAATATTAGGATGAACTCCTACTTTTCTTAGCTGTTCCATTTTTGCCACTAATGTTATCACCTGAAACAAAAAATGTGTAATAATTTTAATGATGCAATCAGTAACAAATAAGTAAACTCCAATTGGCCAATAAGAAAATTTAGTCACTGAACAAGAAGTTTCATGCAGCAGGCTTCAAGACAACATAAAAAAGTGGAAGTAAAGTGAACTCTCACTATGTAGATTCTTAATGTTTACAGCTCTAATCACCTGAAAATAATTTTCTATCTATGTGAATTTGCTGTAATTAATTTTATGTTTAAATTTTTCTTAGATCATATAAAAAGAAAATACTATAATGTATACATATTTTTTAGAAGCTATAAAATTAATTTAGATGATATGAATATTGGCCTGCAATTCTAAGCAAGTCTAAAAAACAAACAATCCAGTTTTCAGGATGGTTGTGGATTCAATTATTCCGGATATTTGGCGTTTTCTTAACAATTTAAATTATTTGCCATGTCAGCACTTGGAAGCTTTTTACTTATTGTTTATTCCCCGTAAAGAGCTTGCTAATTAATTTTCTAGCAAAATTCATCACCTTCCTAGCTTTGAAACCTTCTCAGTGATGAGTTTGAAATTAATTTTGGCAATAAATCTTCATAGTATTTTCTTTGCTCTAATCTATACAGATCTTCAGATACTGCAAACTGTTTCTTTTTTTTTTTTAATTTACCAAAACTATAAATTAAATATTAATTACTAATAAGTTATTGCTTGTAAGACTTTTCAGTTAATGGGGTAGCAGTCAAAAACGTGAGCCTAAATGCCAGATATTGAAACCTGTTTATTTAACTTCATGAGTAAATCTATAATGAGAACACTGTGAATAAAAACAAAGAATAAACATTGATCCAGTAATTTTCTTTACATGACTTTCAGTTGCATTTTTCTGTACATACTGAACAGAAAGAATCGATATGGATTAAACAATGTGGCATTTGCTAAATGTTGAACACTCACAATTAAATTCTTCCTTGACAAAGTTATCCTCCATATGAGAGATTTCATTTGAAAAACCACACAATGAAATTGTATTTCACTTCTACCAGAGGAATGAAATCAAAATTAAATGAAAGGTCATGTTCTGTGACGGAAGTTTTACAGAATGATTTGAAGATTCGAGTGTTCCTTTCCAGAAATCTATTCTATTTATTTGCTTCTGGTATCAAGAGCCTGCACTGGTAAATTCTGTCAAAAGCAACTAGGAATGAATCACTGCATATCTGTGGAATAATGCTTTTACAGCTAATAATGCACAGACACATGACATTGGTGCTATCACCTAATATTCAAGCATGTACCAGTGTGTGGTATGGTATATCTACACGCTTTATTCTGCTAAATTTTCACACACAAAATGTAGCAGCTAATGTGTTAAAATAATTATATAGTAAAAGTCTCAAAATCTAGCATTCAAGTAACTGGAATAATTAAGAATTTCAGAAAAAAATTTTCCTCCGAAAATTTAGTATATGAAAGATTTGTAAAGCCATTTATAGTGCTCTTAATACTATTAACATGCACGCACTATTGCCAAACAAGATGATTTAGTGCCAATAATGGATAAGCACATCATAACACAATCACAAGAAATACATTTTTGCTTAATGTAAATTTCATTAATTTTGCTAGTCAGTTTAACTTTTGTAAAGACAGATACAAGTTTTATACTTGCATTTTGAAAAAGTGATTAATATTTGGGACTGCTTGAAATGCAGTTATTTTCAAACTCACATAATATGGGCATTAAAAAAAAGGCCATGATACACAATTTTGAAAATGGATAAACAATTGTGATGCAATGTGAAAAATTATGATATACGACTCCACTTGCTTTTCATGTGCTATATCTGTATATCTTTATTGCCTAACTAAATAAAGAACAAGCTTTTAATTTAAGCTTCTGCTGGAATGATTGGAGACATCCTCGCCAAATGATATGTTCAGCGGGATTTCACAATTGGATCAGATGTTTTACTTTCATATTTAAGACCTATGAAATATGTCGGCTTTTAAAAGGCTGAAATAGATTTCTCTTCAAAATCCTGCATAATTTTAAATGTAGGTTTTTGATATTCAAGTTGCTAACATATTAGATAATTGTTTTTATAATTTTAAAAGTGGAAATTTTTCAAATTAATTTGGCTTTTCCTAACATCAATTACATTTTTTAAGTGCTCAACTATCTGCAAATTAGCTAAATCTAGCTGTCTGGCCAAGCAGATGTACTTTTCAGAAAACTGATTCAAATTTCTGATTCATACAGATGCACACAAATAGAGCATAAAACATTTTCTTGAGAAATGTTTCTGTGACAGAATTGTGTAGAAAACATTTTAGTATGAATTAAAGCAAAACATGTTCATTGTAATGTACTGCAAAACAAGGCATACATTTTTGCTTTTAATTAAAAATAAAATTACAGAGGAGCAAAGCACACCATGCTTTGTTAATGGGGAAAATAACAAAACAGAAAAGAAGTTCTATGGAAGACTTTTAACATGTATACTTCCACTTTCAAAAGTAATATATGACTAAACATTCATAGCACAACTTTTAATACAACTACCCAGAGATGTTAATGCAGCTTTAACATTCCAATTTTAACACTACAACCATATCCTTTTAGGAATTCAGTATGAGACTGTGTTCTGCAATATACTTCTTAAGAAACTATGTTCTGTAATGTGCATGCTCTATGAGAGGAAAATCTGAAGAATATGCTGGCAAGCTTATGATTTTGCTTGCAGCAGGTCATCAAAACAACATGAATGATGGCAACTATTGTTGTCATCCAATAAATTAAAATGAATCAGTTTCCAGTATGCATATGACAATAATTTAAATGAAGTAAAATAATGTGACAATAACAGTGAATAATCAAGGTTCCTGTTTTAGATAACAGCAGATCCCTGCATCGATTAACTCCAGCTCATTTGACTATTCCACTCTGTTACAGTAAACTACTGCAAATATGTGTTTGAAGAAATAATCACAGTAAGGTTCATGCCAGATTTAGCATTACGTAAAACCAGAATACAATAACATTTCCTTTCATTTCTCAACAAAATGTTGGCTCTTTACTCATCTATACATATAGAGTATTCACAGTAACAATTTGCTTATCATGAGCCAATGGAACCTATTGTACCAGTCTGCAGGCTCCCAAACTAACATGAGTAAAATGCAGATACAGTGAAGCAAGATATTCTGCTGTGTGTATTTCAGCTGCTCTGCTAACTAAGAAAACATCCTCCTGCATCTATAGCAATCTTCTGCCAAGTTTGTACTGCATGTTACACCACATCAGTTGCTTCTATCATTCACATTTTCTAAAAATTATTTCTATCAAGCAACTACAGTTCAGTCAGTGAGAAATTCATTTACTGCATCTTGCACTGATTACTTTTATTCACAATTTTACTACAGGTAAAAGTAGTCAGATATCTTTATGTTTATCAGCACACAACAAAAGTACGCAGTTTAACACACACATACAAAGTCTGTCAACACATTCACTCCTACTAGTATCACCATTCAGAAATTTCCTGTTGTAAAGGAAGTGCAAATATTTGTACTTTAATATATAAAACTTCCAATTGACTATATCTGCCTCACACATTACCGATGACATCAGCAAAATTTCATATGACCACCTTCCACTCTGAAATTTATATTTTGTTTGTTTGACTCTTAATTTATGGGCATGTTAAAACACTGTAAAATAAATCATGCTTTAAACTGAAAGGGAAGTAATGTGTCATTGTAACCATACAATGATCTGCTGAAGTTGCTTTTCATACCAGACTGCCACTGTTATCTCTGCTCAACACTAGGTCACACTACTTGAGTCACTTCCTTGTCCTTGTATCCAAGCAGTTATTTGATCACAAACAGCCCAGCTATGAGCAAAAATATGCATGGATGATGTAACTATGCAAGAGGGACTTTTTTATGTTTCTTCTACACATTGAAGAAACTAGATAGCAGTAGTCAGTCCATACAATAACTTGATGAAAAGACAAAAGTTGCAAAAAATTTCTAACTTTCAGTACATTCTCAGGCTACCCCCTTCAAGACTTATTTTTTTTTTTTTCTACCTAGCATCCCAGCTGAATAGATACAAATATCTGGGCAGGCAACTGCTCAAAACACACTATTCAGGGTCAGATCAATATTATTTTATCAATTTGAAACATATCACTGTATCCAACACTAATGATCCTCCCTTTAATTGGCAGAATGCCAACCAAAGCTCTGATATACATAGTCAGACTATTTCTCTTTTATTTACTCAGAATACATGTGCTACATCTTGCACTGGCTACCTTCTTTTACTTTACTCAGAATTCTGCCATAGGTGAAATATTTGGATGTTTAATTCATATCACATCACTTGTCAGTACAATATAAAATAAAAACCTTTGATCTCATGTACCTGTAGTGCACACACTCTAACTTTATCTGAAATTACCAGCTATGGTAATTCCACAGATTTGCATAATTACCAACAACTTGGTCATATTTGCCTTGTGTGTCATTTTACGCCACCAGCATTTTTCAGCTACTAATAATCCTTTTCATCTCCCTAAAAGTTGAAATTTATCTAACTCTGATGAATGAATGAGAACACACACAAAATTAAGGTTTTATTACACAAAACAACATTTAAAACTGCATAAAACAGAATATTAAAGGTTTCTGGAAAATTTACATCTGAAAATATAGAATAATGTATACCTTAGCATGCTCACGTAATTCATCAATTATGAGACGATCAACACGAGATGGATTAGCTGCCAAGCGTGGAATTGGTATAGTATTTGTACTAGAGACTTTTTTACCTGGATTTTGTCTAGCAAGCTCAGCTTCAGTCTGTAAAAATAAAAAAATTCATACAAAATCTTAAAGCAACATTTTACTAATTTGCCTAAACTAAAATTAATTGCACATATTTGTTTACATTATAAAATTAATATAAAATGATAGAATTTACACAATTAACCTTTTTCCTTTCTTTTTCAAGATGCCTAAACTGCTCATAGCATTCTTCAAGACGAAGATGCAATTCATTGGATGGACCACTACGCCTGAAAAATAATTACAAAAATCTAACATATACAAAGACACATACATACATACATAATTAAAGATAGAAATGCTACGTAAAAAGTGTTACATAAAAACTACAATTTACAAAAAAAACTTCACATAAAAATCTAAAACACTGGTTTCTACCACAAAATTAATAGCATTTTTCACAAAAACATTTACAATGAAATTGCACATTAAATAGTATTAGCCCCTTTTATTGATTATATTAATTATTAATGGTAGAAACCAGAGGTGCCTAACATTTTTGTGAACATAAGCTACTTCTTATTGTGTGGACATGCCACAACTTATGAAAATGCAAGACAATGTAAAGTAATATTTTAACAATATGATAGATAAATAGCTTGTATCTGACTTAGAAGCACAAAACAAGTGACAGGTTAGCCAGCCATATTCCAAATGTTTATAAATTCACTACATGGAAGTAGTTATTTGAAGAGAAATATTCTATTAATAATCTTACTGTCTGAAATATATTTAAATATTATTAAAAATATTTTATATTTAAAGGATCACTTTATTACAATAATAAGCAGCAAACTGTCTTAGACTGAGAGATAAAGATATTATGCCATGTGGATTGGCAACCATGTGGTATAAGATCTCTAATTGGATTGGAAAAAGAACAAAATTAGTTCATTTAAGAAGTTTCAAAGTGCAAAATAACCTTTTTGGCAATAAATTTAATTGCTGTATAAAATAACAATGAACACAAAAATATCTAACAAAATAGCAATAATGATAAATCTTACCGAAGAGGCCGCATTCCAATAAAAGTAGGGGGTACAGAAAAAAATGCTGAAGAAGTTGGATCAAAAAATACATCATTTGCTCCATACACAGATGATGGTCCTCGACGATGCACAAAATCATATGGATGATAAACTTCAAAAATGGAATCTGATACAGATGATGAATTTAACAAATGTGAAGGATATTTCACTCCAGGTGATAAAGCAACAGATCCTGAATCACAGCTATTCAAATCAGCATGCAGCATATCGTGGTACAAACCAAAAGCATATAACCCAGCAATAGTACGAGCTGATAAATGTTGAAGAACTTCAGGTGATACTGGCAATCTACTGGAATTGATTGCACTTACCAAAGGTTTTTCATACTCAGAAAGACCCGGATTTTTATCTAAGCATGACATGTCATTCCCACGCACACAATGTTTTATAAAGTCTGGTTGTTTCATACAGCAGAAAGCAGCAGAGTTCGATTGCGACTGATGTGATCTCGGACACTGCAATTTATTCAAAGTATTTCCATTTCGTACAGGAGATACACTATCATAATTAGAATTGCTTGTGGGTACATTTTCATATATTGGACAGATGCAATCACCATCTGATGCTGTCTGTGATGACAACATGGGCTTTTGTAGAGAATGGTAGCGTGAACTAAGATTCCTGGGAAAGTTTTGATAGGCTTGTGCAATTCGGCTTATATGGCCATTTCGATTCACTGTAGGTACTGAACTTTTAACGGAAGAACATGAATTCATACCAGAATTAACATGAGAAGATGTAGGATAAGACTCGTGAGCTTCGGAAATATTTGCTATGTTTAAAACGTTTTGATTAAGAGCTGATGCAATAACATCTTGAGACTCTGAACTTAAATTGGAACTAGATGAAGATATGGGATGAAACATTCTGTTACTTTGGCGCCCACTGTCTTTATAATTTGAACCATTGGGCATCATCATAGATATCTCTCCATTAGTAGATTTCTCTCTTTCCTGTAAAATGTTATATTTTAGTCATGTATCATCATAAAAATAAGGGTACTCTTCTCGTATCAGAACCAGATTCAGAAATCTATCTATGTATGTACGTGTGCATGCGTGTGTGTGTATATACACAGACATACATAACATACACATACATAAATGCATACACACATACATTTCTGAATCTGGTCCGATAACAGAAGAGTACCAAAATAAGTTATAAAAGTGTTAAACAATGCAATACAATTTAAAATAATAGAAATATTAACCCCAAAATTCAGGTTTTTAATTTGAGATGGAGAATAATTTCAAATGAAAATTACAGTTTAAATCTGGGAAACATGTCTATAATAAGTTTAATCAAAACACTTCTCTTATAAAAATTAAAATATACAAGAATATAAAAAGTTCAGAAAAGTATTCATTTTATATCACTTCCTTTCTTCCAAATGCACCAAGTTAAAGCAAGTTAAATTCAATGCATACAATTTACCTATCATTTGCAGATCCAGATTTCTTTTTCCTTAATTACAACAGCCATAATTTTAAAATGTCAACACATAACACTAATAGTAATGCAGAATATAAAAGCTGTACTTTCAAATCAAAATCTCATCCAGGTACAGATTAGGCAAATTTAATCTATTTATCAGTTTTGTGAACCTCATGCACTGGTCCAAAAACAAGTGTTTCATGTAGCTTTTAAAATTACTACTGTTACTAATTTCCAATAAAGCATTCAGAATCACATACTTTAATGCTTACATTTCTTTTAAATGATTTTTCAAACATTTTGATTTTCAGACACAGAAAATAAGTTCCTCCACAAAAATCACCGATAATTCATTACAAATAGAAAATTATTGAATTAAATACGAGAAATTTTCAGTATACAAATAATGGAAGACACTAAGCACTGAGCAGTTGATTATCATCATATAAAGTAGCAATCCATATGAAAATTTGAATTTACCGTATTTTGCAAATGCAAATATATAGAGTAACCGTAGTTATATCTAGGATCCCTACATAAAAGAAAAGGATGCAAATGAATACTTGTAGCATCCTACACTGTTTCAGATTCAGAAAAGATATGCAACTCCAAATCCAAACCTTGAGTTTTACTCACTACTTCATCTTAATATGTGATTTCATCTGCCAGATACATTGCACAGAATCATCCTACTTGAAAACAACATGAAATGTAATTTGCCATTCTAACGTTTTCAAATTATACACCTTTAATAAGCATTAAAATCAGAACGGTAAATTCAATGATAATTGAAACAATCATGTGATAAGAAAAGATGATTCTAACACACAAATTGACATCAACAATGATTGTGAACATAGCTTGTCATTCAACAGCTCTTTAGTGTTTACTATCACTTGTACAATGGCTTAACCTTTATCTAGTCGGTGTGATAAAAGGATCTAACTTTGCATTCAATGAATTTTTCAGACTAGATTCCAAGATTTCACACCTACTTCATTATTTTGCTTGCATTTCTTTCCAACAAGAATGGAAATTTGTGAAAAGAAATGTTCCTTTTTATAGTCCAATAATTCTTTGCTTATACTCGTTTACATATTTTCAAGCAACAGACACTGAGAACTTTGCATTTTTTAAATGACTTTAATACTAAAACCACAAACCACAATTTAAAGGATTTTATACTAATGAATTCCTATTGACAATTAAAAGTTTTGATTCAGCAGTTAACAGGTTGGTAAAAGGTATGATCTGAATATAATATATTCATTTTCTAAAAATGGATATGGCTTGGTTACATGTCAAAAAAGGCAAATTTGCAGGACGGTGAAAGTTTGGTTTATTTAACCGCTTCCCTTACAAATTTTTTTGAAAAAAATTGCAAAAAATCATCACTTTTTTTATTTTATTATTAAATACAACAAAACGAAACAATCAAAATATGTAGGTTTTAAGTTGAATTTTTAATTTTTTGAAGGTGTAAAAGCATTTATTTTTAATATTAGTTTACTATCCCGAGTTATCTCGGGCAAACAGAAAAAAGTTAAATATTAATCTTTGATGATAGTTTTTGAAACAAGGGACAACACAGAGTGATGCCCGACATTCTACACTGGTATCTGGTCTCTTTTCTTACTGGCTTACCGCTGGAATCTCTTTTACGGGAGCACAGAGTACACTGTCTCGTTGGATTTGAATTTTTTTTTCACCTCTTCATAATTATTATCTGAAAAATCATCGCTTTCGCTATCTTGCATCATCGCCATAATTTTATTTTTTTTTCAATGCATGCATCCTTCTTTATACATTACTAATCCACAAGCCAACATATACAATACAACAGGGAAACACGTGACCAGTTCCTCCAAAAGAATCGCGCAACCAACAAAAATTTGGCAAATTGCCAATCAAAGCTGAATATTTCCTTTCATTTCTCCAGACCGAATAAAACCATGATAAAAGAAATCATACTAACAAATTCTGCTTCGCCCGAGTTTTCTCGGAATAATAATTAACTGCAATATATATACGAACCTGAGATAACTCGGGATAATCAGGCAAGCAGTTAATTATGACAAAGCACTCAAGGGCTATTAACCTAAGGAGAGGGATGTCTTCATGGAGGACTTTTTAAGAGAACTGGCTTATATACATGTTACACATAGGAAAAACCACAAAATAGTCTATGCAGTTCACGAGGATTTGAACCCTGCACTGCACTACTAGTGATTAGAGACTTTACTACTCGACCACTGGTGGAAAGCAGAATAGACAAAAACAGAATTGGTATATACACGTTATTGCTGTATAACGGATAACACTGCCTCTCTTCTATCTTTTCTGACTCATATGATATTTTGTAAAAGGCTGCATGCAGTTATTTTCTGTTGCACAAAAATAGTACTCTTTTAAATATATGACGTATCGCATAAGCAATGTCTTTCTTGCGTTTGCAAATAATAGTGTATAAAAGCAATTTCAAATTAGATGAAAATAAACTAGTAACTAGTGATGAGTCGGTACTATAGAACCGGGTATTTTGTAACGGGTTCTTAGTTGTAACGGGTACTGAAAATCGGTACATCCAAGTACCCATTACTTCAGTACCGAAATCGGTACTTTTCGGTACTCGTTACTTCTGTACCGAAACGGGTACTTTTCGGTATTCGTTACTTCTGTACCGAAACGGGTACTTTTCAGTATTCGTTACTTCTGTACCGAAACGGGTGCTTTTTGGTATTCGCTACTTTGTAACGAAAATATGCGTCTCTTCTCAGTATTTTGGTATTCGTTACTGGAGGATCGATGAGGGTTCAGCTCACTTCGGTTTTGGTACGAGGACAGTAGTATCTGGTTGTATTTGCGAAATTGTGATATGTGCTCCTTGTGTCCATGAATGACCTTGAAATAGGGCATGGAATGGCAAACGTAAAAAGGGGGAACTTCCGTTGTCGCAAAAGGAAGGAAAGTGTAGGGAAAAGTGACCAGACTTCAAGATGCTTTACGTCACTGAGGGAAAATTTCAAATTACAGTTGTTCCAGATTGAGACTACTGGGAAATGTGTAAACCTCTGTTGAAGAAAATGCCATTCTTTATATTATAGGACATTACATTCGTTGTTATAAAATTTTAGTTTGAATTTTAAATTACACTGCAAAACTGTGTGTCTTTACTAAGTGCTTGCAATAATTATTTCTATCGTATCTTTATATTAATATTATGTCAAAAAATAGTTCAACTATTTGATTATTTCTTTGAATACACGTTATTGCTATATAACAGATAACAATATGGACAATTTAAAATTTAACCAGTCTTCATCTCAGTCTTTTTTTTTTTTTTTAACTGTTAAATGTCCTTATAATTTGAAATTTGTTTTGGTATATATTATCAAATATAGCTATATCTTTGAACTTTCTTCCATACAGGAAATAATTAAAAAATAAATGCTTAAAGCTATAGAAATGATTAAAAATTAAAGTTCAGTGGAACTGTTAAAATTATGCTCTATAGGCGTAATGAAATTTTAATTTTACATAATTGTTCAAAATCTGCTTGATAACATACTATTTAAGGAGAAAATTTTTTAGCAAATTAGAATATAACTGGTTTAATTTAAAATAATTTTATTCTAGACTGGCAATGTCCAACTACATAAGTGCTACTAATTAAAATTCAGTTCTTTTCCAAAATTAATGCATAATAAAACAGACGCTCAAAAACTGTTTTTTAAAATATTTTAGTTTTAAAAATTAGGAAAAAAAAAAAAAGATTATTTAACCATGTACCGTTTAAAACTGTTTATTAAAAATTAGTAAGTGATATATTTCAAATATTAATAATAGAATGAATTTAAGTCATTAAAAATGTCAAATTATTTAGTATGCAAACCCATAATTCAAAACGTAAATTCCATTTGTCTTTTTTTTCTATTTGACTAAAACTAAATTCCCAGCCTCACTAAGGGAACATGTTCACTCAGGTATCAAAATTTAGGTAATTTCTTAGTGCAGAGTTTTTCAAATTGAAGGGAAAATTGTTTGTTATGCATAGTGTCTGCAAAAACTGTGGGACAAAAGTTATACGATGATTACCGTATTTGACGGCATATAAGACGCACTTTTTTTCCTAAATTTGGTCTCAAAAAAAAGTTACCTGCGTCTTATACATGAAGGACACAGTCTTATATGTGAAGGTAATTGCATTCAATAATTGCTTATTTGGCTTTTACGAAACGTGAGAACTAAAAGAAACCACACTATTGAAACTTTTTTTCCTTGTGTGTGGCTGTCTAAATAAGGGTGCGTCTTATATGCCGTCAAATACGATAGTTGTTGTCTTCAATACTGTATTATGTTATTCTGTATTATGCTCCATAATTTAGCATATTAAGAGAAATGTCCAGATAATTTCAGGTGCCTGGTCAGCAAAATTCTCTCCTGTTTGAAATCGTTGTCCCATGTGAATTTTTCTATTTCCTCTATTGTTTACACCAGTTCGTTTTAACTCCAGACT